TCATGCTTATGTTTATCATTTTTCTGGACAGCAAATTAATAGATATTCATTGCAAAATAATTTTTTAAAATTCAAGAAGGCCAAAGGAAAAAAATCTCTCATAGCCACATCAGACAAATAAATACAATCAAGGTGCTGCTAAAGATCACTCTTGTACTTTACTATGCATTTGTGTTTTATAATCAGGAATATAGTACACATATTGCCTTTGTGATGACATGTTAAAGTCATTCAACTTCTTTCTCAACATGATTTGCAATGGCTGCATAGTGGGTCATTAAGCAGATAATTTAGATTGCCAATCCCAAACTGTTTAACATTTGGGTTGTTTCTGGATATTTTTGCTATTTTAATACTTCAAGAAACAGTCATACAAATATCTTTGGGTACATCCATGACTATATCTCCAGAATAAATTCTTAGAAGCAAATTTCTCTGTAAATAACATGAACATTTTAAAGGGATATTTTGAAAATAATTTTTAACTTTTAAGAATCTATCATAATTGCAACTAAATGACTATTCTTGTCATTATATTTTAAGTAACTGATTTCCAAAATAGTAAATTTCAATATTTTAGCTTCTGATCTATACTGCCACCATCTTTATTGCCTGAAAGTAGTGCAAAAATCTTTTGTCAAGAACATGTGTCTATGTTTTTATTTTGGGAAACATGGCATCCACAACCACATGCCATGAAAGCAAAGTCTTCAGTAAAGTTCCAAATATTTGCACATCTAACACTGAGATGTTCCCTACATCCAGTAGCTTCTATCCGGGTAGGCATCTCATATCAGCCTATCCACATCTGCCTCAGTATCCTGGGGAGATTACTTCCAGAATCCCTACAGATACTAAAATCCATAGATGTTCAAATTCCTTATATAAAATGGTATAGTATTTGCATATAACCTACACACATTCTCTCAAATAATTTGTTGGTTTGTTTTGTTTTGTCTTTTGAAACAGGGTCTTACTATGTAGTTCATCCTGGCCTTGAACTCGCTATGTAGCCTAGGCTGGACTCAAACTCCTCGCAATTCTCTTGCCTCAGCTTCCTGTGTGCTGGGACTACAAGCATGGGTCACCATGCCTGGCCCTCTCATATATTTTAAATCAAATCTAGATTACTTATAATACCTAATACAATGTATATTCTATGTAAATAGTTCTTATACTGTATTGTTTAGGGAATAATGACAAGAAGAAGTCTTTACATGTTCAGTACAAATAAAATATTTTCAAATATTTTTGGTTTGTGTTTGGTTGAATCAGAGGAAGTAGAACCTATGGATACAGAGAGTCAACTATATAGCAGCTGGCACCCAGTAGAAGCTCAAAACCCATCTCTTGAATGGTCATGTGGTTAAGGATTATATCAATTTATATTCCAACTAATGAGAGAAGTTTATATCTCATAACCTCAGCTAGCTAACTTTTATTAGACAAAAATTCTATATACCTCATAAACTCTCAGTTGTTTAAAAATATTTTAATAGTTTAAGCAGATGAAACTATCTAAAGGAGTCACTCAGTTTTACCAAAGTTAAAAGTGTGTGATGTTTACTCAGCCACATCTTAAGTATCATTCTACAGAAGTACTATTCCAGTAGAAATAAGATGTAAGACACACAAGTAATTTTAAATTTCTAGTAGACACATTAAAAAAGAACTAAGTTAAATTACTTTTAATAATATATTGTATTTTTCAATCTAATATAGCTAAAATATTATAACTTACACATGTATTGAATACAAAAATTATCAATGTTTTACAATTTTTATACTGTCTTTGAAATTCAGTACATTTTACACTTATAGCACACTGTAACTCAAAAACAAATTTTTCATAATAAATATTTGACCTGTATTTAGATTTTACAATATTTACAGTTGTTTCATACTCAAGTTGAACCAAATACACTTAAGTTTTCCAATAACTGAATCAAATCTCAAGTTTAAAAATTAAAATTAAATTGAACTAAATTCCTCAATCACACTGATCATATAACCACACATGGATACTGACTGTTGTACTAGACAGCATTGCAGACACCAGCCCTTTAAGAATCATTTGTATGGCCCATTAGCATTTAACAAGTTATCACATAAAATAGACTTTATCATCCTCATTTTTATTTTTTTATTAATTTTGGGTACCAGGGATCAAACTCAGGCCCTTGCGCTTGCGAGGCAGGTGGTGGAACCACTGAGCCAAATCCCCGGCCCCTCTCATCCTTGTTTTTAAATGAGGACATGGAGGCTCTGAGTAGTTGTCATTCATATAAGATCACGTGGCTAGGAATAGTTCAGACTCATATCTAAGCATGTGCACCCCAGAGACTGAATCCTTTCCCCATCCAACTCACTGAGAAAACAGCAAAATAGAACACCTATGTTAGGTGTGCAAATATCTGGAACTTTCCTAGAAACTTTGCTTTCAAGGCATATGGTTATAGCTACCACGTTGCCCAAATTAAAAACACAGACACTGGTTTTGACAAACGATTTTTGCACTTCCTTCAAGCATCAAAAAAAAAAAAAAAAAAAAAAAACAGTGACAGACATAGTTTGGAAACCAAATTGTTGGAACTTGAGGACATTTCAATAGTTTATACCAGTGGTTTCTAACTCCTTTTAAACAGCAGAACTCTTTTGTACTTCAGATTGTAGATAAAACCCTAATATATTAAAGACATGATAAATGTTGAAGGTGATGAATATGCTAATTATCTGAGTTGAATACTCTCCAATATATTACATAAAGCCAGGAGTGGTGGCACACTACTGTAATTCCAGCACTCTAGGAGGATGAGGCAGGAGGACTGCAAGTTCAAGCTTTATGACTTATCAAGACCCTGTCTCAAAAATTTCTAAAAAGGGAGGGGAGTTGGAGATGTAGCTCAGGACAAAGGTCCTGGGTTCAATTTCTAGGACTGAAAATACAGAAACAACAACAAAAACCCATCCTATTGTACTTGTACCTCATGAATACATCTGTGCAATTATGTGTCAGTCAAAAAAATTTTAAAAAGAAATTTAAAATTAAAAAATATATATAAAATCAATGAAATGAATTTTTCTATAAGAGTTCTCAGACTGTTGCCACTCCACAGCCTACTCTGACATACTCTCATCAAAGCAGCCCCTGACCTAGGCCTCACAACATCATGAAGTGGAATTTAAAAATCACCTTTTAGAAAGGGATTCTGTTTTCCAAAAAGATGAAGTTAACATCATTTTCTGTTGCACTAAATACAGCTAAAACATCTGGTCATAGAAAGGTGGAGGAGAAAAGGTGACAGGGACCCTAGGACCTCAAGAACCTGTTTTGGGTTGTTTTGTCTCCTTTAATTTGGGTTTTGTCTCAAAGATCTTAGGCCAAATGCTGCAGAAGTTGGCACACTGCACCTAATGGGTGCAGACAAAGCCCCCAGTAAAAATCTACCCTCTTTAACTAAAGGACCAGGAAAGAGCCTCACAATACAGAAATGTTTTAGACAATAACCACTCTAACGTCTAACGCCTAGAGAATTCTGCAGCCACTATCTGACAAGGCTTTTCAGGAAACCATCACAAAAAATGCTTCAACCAACAATTACAAATACATTCAATATAAACAAAACAATTGAAAATCTCAGCAAAGAAATAAAACATATAAAGAAAAATCACATAGAAATTTTAGAACTGAAAAACATAGTAACAAAAATAAAATATTCAGTGGATGAGATTGACAGCACAACATAGAAGATAGATGAATCAGTAGACTTGAAGACAGAATAGAAATTATCCATTCACAACACATACACTGCACTGGCATAGTTCTCAATGCACGTAGAGGAAATATTTAAGACAATCATGTTATAGGGCCAGGGTTTTAGCTCAGTGGTTCTGCTGCCTGCCTTGCAAGCACAAGGACCTGAGTTTGATCCCCGGTACCAACATAGAAGATAGATGAATCAGTAGACTTGAAGACAGAATAGAAATTATCCATTCACAACACATACACTGCACTGGCATAGTTCTCAATGCACGTAGAGGAAATATTTAAGACAATCATGTTATAGGGCCAGGGTTTTAGCTCAGTGGTTCTGCTGCCTGCCTTGCAAGCACAAGGACCTGAGTTTGATCCCCGGTACCAAAAAAAACAAAAACACAAATATACCATAAAAACACAATCAAAATGGAATTCTAAAGAAGTTCAGTAACCCATAGGAAGACAGGGAAAATAATATAATTTTTTTTAAAAAGAGAGAACAAACAGAAAGCAAAAAATAAAGCGGTAGACTAAAGCCCTAGCATAGCAATATTTACACTAAATATAAAAAGTCTAAATACACCAAATAAGAGATTGGCAGAATGGGCTAAAAAAAGGTGTCAGGACTTGGAGTGTAGCTCAGTGGTAGAGCACTTGCCTAGCATGCATGAAAATGCCAGCTCCATCCCTAGCACTGAAAAATAAAAATAAATTACCCAACTATAAACTGTCTATAAAAAATTCACTTTAAATCAAATATTTTAAAGTGTACACAGAAAATACACCAAGATAAATATATCCTGGCCCATAAAACAAACCTCAACAAATTCAATAAAGACAAAAGTAATACAGATAGATTTTCTCACCATAATTGAGTCAAACTAGAACTCAATAAAAGGAAAATCTCTAGTCAAATGGAAACTAAAGAACATACTTCCAAATATTCCAATGGCCAAAGAGGATCTCTCAAGAGAAAATATTTTAAAAACGCACTAAATGGGGGCCAGGGATTTAGCTCAGTGGGTCTACCTCCTGCCTCACAAGCGCAAGCACCCCAGTTCAATCCCCAGTACCACAAAAAAATAATTGCACTAAATGTAATGAAAATGAAAATATAGCATATTAAAATTTATGCAACACAGGTAAAAAAGTGATGAAAGAGATCTTTATGACACAGAATGTACGCATTTGAAAAATGAAAATGTCAGGGTTAGTCTGAGAGGATTCCCTCCAGGGTACTCACCCCGCTGTGCTGCAGCACAGGCCCTGTTACAATAAAAGCTCATGCTGGTGTTCCTGTAAACCTGCTTGTGATTTACTTCTCAGGTAGTATGGGCTCCATAAATCCTGTAAATCTACAGAGAGAGTAGACAGAGACACAGAAAAAAACAAGAGACAGAGAGAAAATGTCACAAATGAACAATTGAAATTCCTATCTCAAAAATCTAGATATAGAAAATAAAATAAACCTAAACTAAGTGGAAGAAAGTAAAGATAACATCAGAAATCAATGACATTGAAAACAGAAAAATTAATCAGTGGAAAAACAGCTTAGGATCAATTTATGTAACATTCTCAAAATGACAAAAGCATAAAGATGGAGAACAAATCCAGGAATGCCAATGGTTAGGGGATAGTGGTGGGTGTATACTGTACAAGAATCACATACACGGAATCTTTGTGGTGGCAAAATAATCAAATTGTGGTTCACTGAAACTATAAGTATTTAAACATGAGAAGTCTTTGTTTGTTCATTTATTGGTAGTTTGTTTTGTTTTGTTTTCTGGTACTGCGGATTAAACCTAGGGCTTTCATACAGAGATACAGTCTCTGCTTTTTTTTTTTTTTTTTTTTTTTTTTTTTTTT